GAACTTACGATCACGCTCGAGGAATTTCTGGTACTTACGGGAGGCTTGCGCCCTCTCGCAATCAACTATCCCCGGAAGGGCTCTCTACTGCGCCGCTCGCTACGGCCGTTTCCTCTCCCCCTCGGGATCCGCCGCTTCCCACGGACTGTTATCCCCACTACGCGCCTCCTTTGTCCGCACGTCCGCTCTATAGTCGGACGCGGCACGCACTGTATACGTCTTTGTCATGCTCGCGTCAGGACCGTAGCTATCATGATGCGTCGCCCGCTTTTATATAAAACACAAAATTCTTTATAGTTCTTAAACTAAAAACAATATAATAAATCGGCTCGTGGCGACGGATACCTTATCGGACAAGGTATATATGTGCAAAAGTACGTTTTACAAAATGTGGCTAAAACAAAACTAGACCTGTAAATAATAAAAATTCCAATGCCACAGTGTTAAGAACGCAGCGCACATCAATAATTTATAAATAACTTAATTTTGACCTATATGGTTCTTAGGTGGTACCTATGTGGCACCTCGCTAAATCGACTACCTATGTGGCTCTTATGGTCTAAATTGGTTCCCTGAGTGGTCAACCTACATGGACCTATGCGGCGACTTATACGGGATTCATCTTGTGATCCTATGTGGTCTCCTTCGTGGTCCTCTAAGTGGTCTGCCTTGGTGGACTTGTCCCGTAACCTCGATGGTGTACCTATGTGGCTCCCGGATGATATCACCTCTTTAGATAGTAGGTCAGGACCTAGATCGTACCTCGGAGATATCCGGATGGCTGGTTAGATCCTAGATGGTAATCGAACGATGTTCCAATGGTTGGTCAGGACTTATATGGAACTCGGCTGATACTCGAATGGCTAGTCAGGTCCTAAATGGTAATCAGACTATATTCGGACCGTTGTTTATGGCTAGATTGTGACCAGGGTACGACGGCCCAGAAAATTTGTGCGAATTCAATCCTATTATGGTCGTATGGTACTTCGAGCGGGGTATGGTATGGTATGGTATGGTATGGTTTTGGTATGGTATGGTATGGTTAGGTTAGGTTTTGGTATGGCTTTGGTATGGTTAGGTTTAGTATGGTTAGGTTTTAGTATGGTTAGGTTAGGTTTTTTTTTAGTATGGTTAGGTTAGGTTAGGTTAGGTTTTTTTTTTTTTTTTTTTTTTTTAGTATGGTTAGGTTTTTTTAGTATGGTTAGGTTAGTATGGTTAGGTTAGGTTAGGTTAGGTTAGGTTAGGTTAGGTTAGGTTTTTTTTTTTTTTTTTTTTTTTTTTTTTTAGGTTAGGTTGTGACCGGGTATCGGAAGGTGCGTAAATTTGGTCTCTCTGAGAGAACCTGACCGCTCATTTGAATTTGGGGCTTTTTATCATGGACCTATATCCTATTTCCTATTTCCTTGGACCTATTTCCTATCCACCTATTTCCTATGACCTGTTCCCTTTCCAGGTGTTGGTTCCCGGTCTGGCCTATCTTATACCTAACCTAGCCTGACCTGACCTTTATCCTATGTCTATCCTAGGTTCTATCTTTCCTATGACCTATGTCTCCTAGGTCCTATGTCTATCCTAGGTTCTATCTATCCTATGTCTCCTATGACCTATGTCTCCTATGACCTATGTCTCCTATGTCCTATGTCTATCCTAGGTTCTATCTATCCTATGACCTATGTCTCCTATGACCTATGTCTCCTATGACCTATGTCTCCTATGTCCTATGTCTATCCTAGGTTCTATCTATCCTATGACCTATGTCTCCTATGACCCATGTCTCCTATGTCCTAGGTCTCCTGTCTCCTACGTCCTATGTCTCCTATGTCCTATGTCTCCTATATCCTATGTCTCCTACGTCCTATGTCCCCTATGTCCTAGGTCTACTGCGTCCTATGTCCCCTATGACCTATGTCTCCTATGTCCTATGCCTCCTATGTCCTAGGTCTCCTGTCTCCTATGTCTCCTACGTCCTATGTCTCCTATGTCCTATGTCTCCTATATCCTATGTCTCCTACGTCCTATGTCTCCTATGTCCTATGTCTCCTATATCCTATGTCTACTACGTCCTATGTCTCCTATGTCCTATGTCTCCTATGTCCTATGTCTACTACGTCCTATGTCTCCTATGTCCTAGGTCCCCTATATCCTATGTCTCCTATGTCCTAAGTCTCCTATTTCCTATGGTTCCTATGTCCTATCACCATGCCCCATGCATCATGCAAATTGGATATTGAGCAGTTCTCCTCGATTTGAACGCTACGCGCCCTAGCTAGCCTCCTGGCCACCCGGTTCGACCGTAATAACACAAAATTGAATGTAATAAGCTACTATGTATAATTCGCGCTCGCAGCAGTGAACCGTTACGTCAGAATAAAGCCGAAATTCCGTGTGTTACTGGTCGCCACCTCGTCTTTGTTCGGGAACGAGGAAACCCTCGGTGATTCTACTCGTTATTTTGACTCGTGTTAAAAAATATACCCTCTAGGTATTACTACGGGCTAGTGCCGCGTGGTTCGTGTCGTCCTTACGCGTCGGCTGCTGACGATGACTAATATTTTGACGGTTATACTACGAGTTCGTTTCCGAAGTGTGGTTCGTGCCACAGAACGGCGTCTAGTAGGAACTATCTGGACAATTGAAGGTAAGTAAGGACTCGAAGTTTACGATAAAATGCAATAACAATATATATATTCTGAAAGTTATCTGAAAGTTACAAAAATATTATATAAAATCTGGTAATCTAGTAATCTCGTAATCACAGTCTTCCGCGTTGTATGAAATAAAGGTAATTTGTTCAAGGAACTTTTCGCTGGTCCCGCCGCGGATTAAAAGTAATAAATCTCTCGCGAGAAATGACTCGACCTCGTCTGGACGCGTGCTTATGCAATAAAGAAATGCGCGTATTTGACCATGCGACTTACATTCGTTGACAGATGCGCTACTAGTATCCTGTACACTACACTGTAATCCGATATTCGCTCGCAGTGGCCGTTTGGTTGACGCTTCACCCTCGCCTGGCCGTCTCGGATCGGAAACGCTTCGTCGCAGTAATGGCGGATAGCCGCCGGTGTACAGGATGCGCACTAACGGGCACTTGGTGTTATTATACACTTCAGCGGTCGTTTTACAGGCCCTTGTTAACTCCCGACCGCGCACACGCAATGAGAGCCGTCCGCCCGGACGGTTTAATGGCGTTCGAACACTACTAGCCACGATACGCGTCCGTTTTAAGTGAGCACGAATACGACGCGTGTTACCGTTCGTGCTAGTCAGAACGACTCTGAAGACGTCTTGTCTTCTCCGTGAAACTCTTTCTCTTTGCTTAGCACACGGTAAAATCTCCGCATCGGATTGGCTCGTTACATTAGACTCGCTACGAGCCCGGCGCGCACGCGTATCGCGTCTACGGGTAGCTCTTGAGTCCCGGCCTAATGGGGACTCCGCAATAACGGGTCTAGATTATGGCGGGTTTTCCGACGACCCCTTATTTTTCTCGCTGGAGATAGCGCTTTAAGGCCCGGCTGGCCTGATCTTTGGTCATACTACTGAATCTTAGTAGCTAAGTCCTCTTACAAGCCTGGCGTCGGTCCGCCTAGGACCTACTACTACCTAGGGTACACTTCTAATCACATTTTCGTGCCCCTAGGACGAAATAACAACAAGACCCGCAACTTGAAAACATATTCGGGTACTTCCCGGCGGGCTTTTTAAATGCTCAAATTTTGATTTTTGAATATTATGGTTTCGTGATGTTTTTACCAATTGTTAACATTACAAAAAGCATCATTGTGCTCAGAAAGAGGTAAATTTTCAGATTACACCACGACTCCATTTTGAAAATTACAAAAAATTGAAACTTAAAATTACGCATTTTCGCGCCATTCAATGTTCTCTAAAACTTAATCTAAGCCCTTTGATCCGATCGCAACTTACAAAATAATTAAATTAACAAACTATCCTACGTCGCTTAACCTATTTTCGTTTTTTATGGATCACGACGTTTCGGATTATGGATCACGGGTTTTCAATACTATGGATATTTCGGATCCTGGCTCTTATGGGAGGTGGCTATAGGATCCTCTACTTTTATGGATGTTTGGACAGTGGATGTTAGCTGTTATTAGGGGGTTAGCCCCTTTTAGGAAATCGGGTTATGGTTCTTTTGGTTCCGACTGATACTATGTCGGACTCGTCGGATGGATTGGTTAGGACCGGATGGGTTATGGCCTTTTACGGTTAGGACCCGATTGATTATGGGTTTTCTGGTTCCCCCTTTCTCGTACGCGCATCCTGATGAACGCGCCCCCGTTATCCTACGGGTTACGTTTAGGATCCTACAGGAATTGGTTCTTATTGGTTAGGATCCTGTTTTATTGGATAATATGGGTTAGGATCCTGTGATGATTGGTTCTCTATGGTTAGGATCCTTTTCTATTGGATAATATGGGTTAGGATCCTGCGATGATTGGTTTTTTATGGTTAGGATCCTTTTCTATTGGATAATGAAGTTAGGATTGGTTAGTTTATTAGATCCCGGCGTATGGATCTGTTTTTGAATGGTTAGTTCGGTTAGGCTCTTTTATTGGCCCACCCTTTATGCTTCCCGCCCATATTGGTTACGGTACTATATGACAACTTAATTGTATAAACATAAAATGAACTTAAATAGTCTCTTTGACCTGTGTACAAAAAATAAACTTTTAAACTTAAGAAACCTACTAAGGCGACCGACTTTTCTCGTCGGATATATATAATGTTTAACAAAAAATACGCCGCTTTACATATAACTTATCACTAAGACTTATTCTAGAAGATAAACTCTTATAACTACTTATGCCGCTTACGGCTACGTTTGAGCACCATATCTGCCATTGCTGCTGTTGCACCTGGCCCCTGGCACCTACTGCTGCTGCGCCTGGCACCTATTGCTGCATCTGGCCCGTATCTCCTTCTGCCGCTAGCCCCATCTACTCCTGCACTCAGCCTCCATTTACTACGCCTCGCTACTGGGCGTCCTCAGGTTGGGCCTCGGCCGCCCCTTCCTGCAACCGGGTGCGGCTGCACCTGCCCCCGTTCGTTTTCGCGCTGACGCGGTCAAGCGCCAATGGAATGCGCACTGTTGGAGTATTACGTGCTGCTGGAGTGTCACCTATTTGTTTTGTAGGTGACTTGTTTACTTGTTGTGTAGGGCTTTTTCTTTCTTGTTTTATCTGTTCGTGCTCGTACGTTGTTCCTAAGTCTTCTAATAGTATTACGGAGTCATCGGATTCTGAGTGTGATGTATCTATTTGTAATTTATCCGTATAATCCGTTCGTATTGACTCGGTAGTGTTGTCTTGTGATATGTCTATTGTTGTTTGTTTGTCGCATGTTTGTTCTGAATTTATGATTGTTTGCGACGTTTGGGAAATGTCCCATGTGTTGTCTTGTACTTGTTGTGGATTGGTGATTGGCCGCGACATCGGGGAAACGTCCCAAAAAGATGTCGTTGGTGTAGAGTTTTTGAATGATAGACTTCGTGAAGTCTCTGAGGTTAGTTGCAACTTCCGTGGTACCTTCGAATGAACGGTTGGTATTGGTGATATGTTCTTGATGGAAGTCGCTTGTGTGTGTAAGTTGTCTTTATCCACTTTTGTCTCTTTACGCCGTATTAATTTTGGTGTTGATTGAGATGTTGGTGATACATCTTTGCTGCTAGGTTCTGATGAATCCTTTTGTTGTTGTTCTTGTTGTCTCCATTGTTGTCGTTGTTGTTTTTGTATCCTTGCAGCTGTTTCCTTAATGGAATTTTCCATCTCATTTAGCCATTGTGTCCAGGGTTTTTGATGTAGTTTGATATCCTGGAGTTTGACTATTGGAGTCTTCATTTGGATCTGTGATTGTGACTCTTTGGATATTGTTGGCTTTTTAATGATTTCTACTTTGCTGACGGTTGGTTTAGCTTTTGTTGATTTCACCTTTTCAGCTACCGGTTGATATTTTGTTGGTTGTGGTTCTTCAATTTCTTCGATGTCGTCTTCAGATGATAAGATGACTTTTGGTAGAACACGATTTTTCTTTATCTTTCGGTAGTTTTTGTGTTCTTTGGATGTCCACGATTTGAATTTTCCCGTAGTAGTACGAGGTCGTGGAATTGTGTTGCGATCTATGTGGAATCTTTTTAGATATTTAGAATATTTGCGAGGTTTGTTTGAAGATGTAGCTTTTGCTTGTTGTTGCATGCCACTTGTGGATGGTTTATCCATATCCTCCTTTGTTACAATTGGTGGAGACTTTGGTTCTTCCTCGCTTTCTTCGGTAGATGATGATGTAGATTGTTTCCTTTTTGGTTGTTGTTGAATCTCTGTAGATACGCTAGAGAAAGATTTATGTATGGACGAGTCTATTGCTTGTCCTTGTTGTTGTAACGCTTTTATTTGTTGACCCGCTTCGATGATTTTCTTTTTTAATTGGTTCTTTTTATTTTGGTTTCTTCGTGTAAGAGCTTCTATGATTTTGTTTCTCCTATCAAGTTCCTGATGGAGTTGCTCGAAGTCGTCGGGCAGGTCGGAGATGTGATCTTCCTCTTTGGTGTGATTTCTCCCAGCCATGTCGTTTCTGGAAAGGATGTTATCACTGTTGCTTTCGTAGTCTGATGCTTGGACTGCTAGCGTTGTAGTGAGAGTGTCTATTTTATACCCGCGTACATTGTTTTGTTCGTTGTCTAGGTGTCGCATGTTTACATTTGTGTTCGCCGTATTTATACTATACGCTTTGTCTGCACGCTTTGGGTCTTTTCCATTACCATTATTTTTATTATTTATTGACGTTCGGGGTTTCGGGATTGGGGTGGGCTTTTTATTGTTATCGTTATTAATGTTTTTATTGTTAATTTTATTCCCGTTGTTATAATTATTCTGATCATGTGTATTTTTATCTTTTATTTGTATTGGGAATTGGGGAATGGGGTTGGGTTCTAAAATTCTATGTTTGCCTCCGTTATTTTTTTATTGTCCCTTATTTTTATGCCCCCGTTGTTATATACATCTTTATTGTTATATGTGCCCTTATTATTATGTCTGCCCCCGTTATTATAAATATTTCCGTTATTATAGGTGCCCCCGTTGTTATGGTTGCCCCCGTTATTTTCTACATTCTTATGATCTAATTCTATACTACTGACGCTTTCTGTTGACTCTAATCGCCTTTTGCGAGTTATGTTACTATTTATGATTGGCTCATTTTTATTAATTTGCGCTTCGCGGGCTATCGAGCCATTGGAACTGTCCAAGTTTATGGTATCTTTTAATGGATTTTCTTCTTCCTCGCTGTTTTCGCGACTAGATCTATTTTGTACCGAATATTTCGGACTTGCGTTATCTTTGTTGGGGTTTAAGCCCCCGTTATTCTCTACCTTATCTATATCATCGCTATTGAGGGATAAGCCCCCGTTATTTTGAGTATCTTCCGAAACTGTTGCGCTATTGTTTAAGTTGTGAACGATGTTCGTATTATTAAATTTAGATAGGAGTGCATTTTGCACTAATTGAGGATGTATGCGTTTTAAAATTGCAATTGGAAATTGTTGAAAAACGGCCATAATTAATTTAAAATAAGCATGAAATGGGGGATCCCATTGGGAATTCGGTATTTCCCCGTGCCACGTGAGTTCCGTATCATGGTGGCTAAATGGACTATCATAGCCCATAGCTACAAATAACCGTTGTACCTCATTAAATTGTGTTTTCAAAAGAATGACTAATTCGTCGATTGGTAAATTATTAGAAAGCGCATGTGTTAAAAATTCTACCGGTTTTAAAAAGTATGTTGCGCAAATAAATAAATCATGTTCCGGAGTACTATATTGGTCTGTTTGCGTTTGCATGTCAAATGACATGACCTTAGGCGGTGGTGAGATTACCGCGTAATGCGGTTCCATTCTCGTTGGAACATACGTCATAGTATTGTGTTGTGACGGCCTAGAAGTCGTAGTCTCGTAACTTACCGGTTCCTTTTTGAACTCTATTGGTTCTTTGTCGTATTCTCGATACGCTTGTCCCTCCGGACTATAATGTTCTTCTGGAGTCGGATGTCGGGACTCATGTATTAAATCTGAGAGGTTTTCTGGCCTCCAAACGCCGTCCTTATGTAGGAACACTCTTCTTCCTAAATCATCCCAGAAATAAAGTCTGTCAGTGTCCTGATATCTAATGGGATGTCTGTTAAAAGGTAACCTCAAGTACACTTCTTCTTGTACTCTCTCGTGAGGTTGTATCATTATTTGATCAGGGTGGTCTGGCGCATAAAATGCCGCCAAATATCCTTCGAGCTCAGACGGGTATCCGTCTGGATAGACTTCTGGATCAGGTAATCTTCCTTTTTGATCCAGCGTTTTATCGAACCTTTTGGGAGTGTAGAAGTCAGGTAATTGGCCCTTGTCTTCGTAAAATGTATAGCTACCATACGTTCCTTGAATCCATTCGGACACTCTCTTTTGTTTTTCCGGAGAGTTTATCTCACGGATATTACCGTGAATTGGTGGAACTATTATGGGACTGGTGTTTGGTTTTTGGACCTTGCGGTACGCTCCCCATGGTATTCTAGTTTGATCGACTGCTACTAGTTTTCTAGCGCTTCTCCTGTCCTCAGGATATTGGTCTAGCCATTTCAAGGCTTTAATTGGTTTCTCTGACGACGAGCTAGATTCCGAGGTCGTTCTAATACCTCTCTTTCGTACATCGAACTCTTGTACTACTGTTATTTTCTTTGCTGCTTCCACCGCATCGCGGTGAGCTCCGGGATAGGTCTCATCCCAATCGAAACAGTCTTGTCTTCCTATTTCTTCTACGTCGTCTTTCTCACGGTACTTGACTCTTTCTTCTTCGGTTTCATATTCCTCGGGAATTGCGGATCCTTGGATTTCATAATCTTCTTTATTTTCATCGCTCGTTTCCCCTATGCGGAACATGGCTATCGAGGAACTGGTGCCCTCGGACGGTAAGTATTGCGATGCTTCTCTAGATAACGACTCTGAGTCGTTGGATGGGATACTAATAAGTTGATCCATATCACTACCCGATAAAAGTCTGGTGGAAGATTTAGTTCGTTGACTCTCTGATGTTTCAGGAGTATTGTTGATCCGGCCTAACTCTGGACCTGTGTAACCTGGTTCGCGACCATATTCTATTATCGCATCTATATCCTCCACTGGTAATTCCATTACTCGCGGTTGGTGCACTTGTGCTTCGACCACTATTGGTCGAGATGGTTCGTTTTCTTCGTCACTAATGGAGTAATTCTCCTCTATTGGATTTTCTGACGTTTCGGCGTTATCTTCGCCATTTATGGAACCTTCCGGCGTTATCGGTAAGCGTGTCAAGTCTACCGTTGGATCATCGCGTTCTTCTTCATACCTGTAACATGCTGCTCTATGCGGTCGTAATTGCCTTGCGTTGGCTGTACCCGCGTTTCCTCCGTTTGTCCACCTTAGTGCATACGCGTTGGGATGTATAATTTCTGTAATATACAGAGGTCCCTCATATACGGGAAATAATTTTCGCGTCTTCTTATGAGCAGCTGAACTTATCTTATGGGTCTTTCTCCATACTTTAGACCCTACTTGGTATATAGGTGCGGTTTTGTGTTTATCTGCTTGAACTTTGCGTTTTTTAGCGGTGTTCTCCAAATTCGTTCGAGAGTCTCTCACTCTTTTTTCTCTATGCTCTCTTTCGTAGTTCATCATTTCGTTTCCGCCTCGCGGTAACAACTGTGGTGGTAACGTAATTAAAGTAGGTTGCCTTCCTACTTGTCGGCGTCGATCGTGGTACCAATCATTATTAAATTCTAGGGATACGGGTGGTACGCCCGTAGATGAATGAGTTGTTAGGTTGAAAATGGCCTCTATTCTGGGCAATGCTCTGGTCCAGTCTTCATGACTGTCGGCCGAATAAGCTCGTAAAGCTCTCCCTAATTCCCTCATGACCCTTTCAACGGGGTTCGCTTGAGGATTATATGGTGTTGTACGCCGTAATCTGCTACCTATGCGTTGTCCAAACTGCCTCCACTTATTGGTCATAAACTGACCTCCGCAGTCTGACAGAAGTGTCTTCGGTGTTAAACCTCGCCTTGGTATGTAATCGTTTTCTATCCTATCTATGATGGTTTCGATCCTTTGGTTGCGCAGTGGATATAATGCCACAAATTTTGAGAATAAGTCCAATAGGACTAACACGTATGCGCAATGATCTCGCGATCTGGGTAATGGACCATATAGATCTATAGAGACTATCTCTCCTGTCTCGTTTGGTATCTCGAAATATTGCACACCCACAGTGGGGCGTGTATACCATTTGGTGGCGATACAAATCTCACATGAGGCCACCACATCTCTGGCGAGTTCGTCCAAATTTATTATGTGGAAAAATGCCTTGGCAAATTGGATGGTTTTATCCGTACCGAAATGTATGAGGTATCTATGTATTTTCTGTAATAACGTCCACGCCGCCTCTTTGGGTATAGCTACTCTATCCTGACGAGGATTTACTCCAACGATGCGTATCAAGCCGTCTCTTATGGTGAAACTTTGAGGATTGTCTCTCACCCTCTGTTGCAGCTCATCTGATACTTCTTGCACCGCGTTTAGCCATTCTACCCATAACGTGGGATCTTGTTCTTCGGTCGGATCGGCACATATGGCCCCGATAACGGTTTTCCTTTCCTTTCTCACTCGGTTTATGGTTTCTTCCTCCTCTTCTGATTCACTTTCTTTGTTTCCAGGTTTCTGACTCGGATGTCTACTCAACGTGTCAGCAATAACGTTAATACTACCTGGTAAGTATGTCATTTTTAAATCGAATCCATTTAATTTGTCCATCCACCTAGCAATACGTTTACTATGGATCGCGCATGTAGATAAAAATAAAAGTGCGCGATGGTCCGTTCGGACAATAACAGTTCGTCCGTATAAAATGGTGTGAAATTTTTTAAGTGCCCATACAAGAGCTAGCGCTTCCTGCTCTGTGGTTGGATAGTTCTTTTCGGCAGGTTTAAGCGATCGACTAACGTACGCAATGGTGTACTCTTTATTTTGTTTGTCATCTATCTGGAACAATCTAGCTCCAATACCTACAGTTGATGCGTCTGTTTCCAAGCCATACGATAAGCTAGGGTTTATTAAAAATAATTTATCAGCGTTTCTGAACGCTTTCTTAACTTTATTAAACGCGTCCTCGTGTTCTGAAGTCCAGCGGAATTTGGCGTTTTTGTTTAATAATAACTCTATGGGACGTGTCAGCTCCGTCAAGCCTGACACAAAACGACGGTCCCAATTGACTAAGCCTAAAAATGATTGGACTTGTTTTCTGGATTTAGGTCGAGGGAAAATTTCAATCGCGTGTTTAGTTTCGTTGGTCATCCTAACTTGTATTGTAGACAATTCGTGCCCTAGAAATTGCACGTTCGGTGAAATAAATTCACATTTCTCTCTGTTCAACTTAACACCTAATTGTTGTAACGCCTCAAACAGTTGTTCTAAATGAGATAGGTGTTCGTCTACATCATTACTGGCTACTAAGATATCGTCTAAATAAATGATTAAATTGGGCCTAAGATGTGGAATCTTGGCAATGGCTTGATCGAGCGCGCGGCTGAATGACGCCCCCGCGGTTTTTAAACCAAACGGCATCCTCTTAAATACGTACGTTTGTCCGTCAAATAAAAATCCTGTGTACTGGATGGA